ACCCACACAAGAGGTTGTATCGACCCCGTGCGCAAAAGCCTAAGGTCGCTTTAAAATTCGAAAACTTGAGCGTCGCATGAGCTCGAGTCGAAACCCGATTTGGAGATTAAACCCAAAATAGTTAACTAAATATGCCTAAGAGAAAAAGCGTAAGAGCCACTATCGCCAGCACTAAATCAAAGGTGGAACCGACCAAACCTGTAAGATCCACGGTCGCAAGCACTAAAACCGAAGGTCGCACCGACCCAACACATGAGAGCTACTGTTGCTAGCGCTAAAATCGAAGGTTATAGCGAGCCAACATATAAAAGCCAGGTCTAGCCCGAGAACACTTGGGGACGGACTTTCGACCGTTACAAGTCGCTCAACAATAGTAAAAACTCGAGGGTGTTACCCAATGTCTAAGATCTCGGATCGATTATCAAAAATATCACACATTGTTCCCAAAAGGCAAAGGAGAAAGGAGGTGATAAAAACGAAAAGCCTTTTATACATATTGCTCGCAGAGGTACGTTTATAAGGGTTTTAAAGAAACCCTTACAAGGAAAGAGCCAAACATAACCCTAATCTATCATCGAGCCTACATCTTTGACAGCTCCGTCGGAAGTTGTGCCCCAACAGTTTCGGCTACAGTCCCAAAACCTTCAACGGCCTCCTCCCCTCTAGGGATTCCGCCTTCATTCTCATCATCTTCTAAGCCACTGCACGACATGCCTCCAAAAGCAAACGTGGCAGCAGTTTTCTTCTTTAGTGTCTTCACCCTCTCGAGCTCGGCAGACAAACTGATACTGCTCGCATGCATGTCCTCGAGAGTCCACCTCCTAGATTCTAACTGAGGATGCTCCACGGCTCGAGTCAATTTTAGTTCGGCCTCCTCAGGCACTGTGATGACCCAAAAGGTCATCACTCGCTTTAATTAAAATTCTGTGTTCTGAGGCCTTGAAAACCTCATTTAGAGTCACCTCGAATTGCGTGCATAGTCCAGATGTGTAGCCGGAAAGTTTAAATATGATAATCTGTGAAGAATGATAAGTTTTGATTATAAAATGAGCTAATTTGACTTCGGTCAACATTTTGGGTAAACAGACTCGGACCTATGATTTGACAGTCTTGGAGGGTCCGTAAGAAAATATGGGACTTGGACGTATGCCCGGAATTAAATTCCGAGGTCCCAAGCCCGAGAAATGAATTTTTTTAAAGGAAATTGTTTTCTGGAATTGTTTAAAGAAATTTGAAATGAAATTTGATTAGAACATGATGGTATCGGGCCCGTATTTTGGTTCCGGCGCCCATTATAGGTCTTATATATGATTTAAGACATTTCTGCAGAATTTGGTGAGAAACGGATGTCATATGACGTGATTCAGACTTAAATGGCAAAATTTATGTTTAAAGAAGTTTTGAGAAAATTTCATTGATCTCGAGATTTAAATTGATGTTCATGATGTTATTTTGATGATTTGATTACACGAGTAGGTCCATGTGATATTTTTGAGTTAGTATGCGCACTTGGTTTGGAGTTCTGAGGGCTCGGGTGAGTTTTGGGTAGGTTCGGGATGTTTTAGATTTAAAACCAAAAGTTGCAGGTCTCAGAACCCGCCAGTGCGCTCCGTACAAAAACGTGTGCGACCGCTGAAAGGGGCCAGTACTATCCGTGGTCGGTATCATGCGGTGCGCGGTGGGGGCCTGTGCGGTCCGAGGTCGGTTTCGTGCGGTGCGCGGTGAAGGCGTGTGCGGCCGTAGTTCATTTCGTGCGGTCCGTACAGGGGGTCAGAGAGGGGTATAAATAGACAGGATTTTCAGTTATTTTTCATTTTTCAAACCCCCAAAAACATAAGAGGCGATTTTTCAAACAACCTTTCTTCTCCAAATCAATTGTAAGTCATTTTTAACTTCTTTTCTTCAATCATTAACATCTTTTAACATGATTTCAACTTCAAATCAATGATTTTCATAGGGGAAATTGGGTGTTTTGGGTAGAACCTAGGTTTTTCAAAAATTGGGAATTTGGACCTCGATTTGAGGTCCGATTTCAAAACAAATTATATATTTGAGTTCGTGGGGGAATGGGTAATCGGGTTTTGGTTCGAACCTCGGGTTTTGCCACGTGGGCCCGGGGACAATTTTGACTTTTTGGGTAAAAAATTGGAAAACTCATTTTCATGCATTCAAAAATTGATTCATTTAACGTTTATTGATGTAATTAAGTAAATTGTGGCTAGATACTAGCAAATTGGCGGTGGAATCAAGGGGTAAAGCTATAATTGAGCTTTGAGTTGTGTTCGTGGCATCAGAGTAAGTGTTTGGTCTAACCTTAGCTTGAGGGATTAGGAGTTGTGTCCTATTTGCTATTTGCTTCTTGTCGAGTACGATGTATAGGCATGGTGACGAGTATCTATATATTGGTGTCAAGCATGACCGTGAGTCTTATACTGTGATTTTTCATGATTTCGTTGTATTATTCATGCCTTGGTGAAGATTTCTAATTGTTGTATAAAGTTTGTGGAGAGAATTGTGACCTATGCACATTGAGGAGTGTTGGCTCAAGTTGTATAGCGAAATTGTGAAATGAATTTTGAAAGTGTAAGCGATAATCGAAGCTCTCGAGCATTGGCTCAACTTCTGAAGTGATTGTGAAGTATAATTAAGAAAGATAAGAGATCATTATGCTGCCACCCTTGCCGGGATATTGTTGATTTATACGTTGTTCCCTTGCCGAGATTTAATTGTTTAAGTGTTGTTCCCATGCAGGGATTTAATTGTTTAACTATTGTTCCCTTGCCGAGATCTCTATTACTATTTTTTTATTCCCTTGCCCCTTTATTTGTGATTGTTGTTTGGGTGAGGAAGAGTGTTAAAGCATGAAGGGCGATGCCATGCATTGTTTGATATTGTAAGGAAAAAGTGTAAAGCACGAAGGGTGATGCCATGCCGCATGACGTACCATTCCGTGCCGATTCTATTGATTATATGGTGAGGAAAGAGAGTAAAAGCACGAAGGGTGATGCCATGCCGCATGACGTACCATTCCGTGCCGATTCTATTGATTATATGGTGAGGAAAGAGAGTAAAAGCACGAAGGTGATGCCGTGCACATTTTGATTATATGATTGTTTTAGGAGGACGAGAGTAAAAGCACGAAGGGTGATACCGTGCACAATTTATTATATAACTGCTTTGGTGAGGCTGAGAGTAAAAACACGAAGGGTGATGCCGTGCAATTGTTGATTTCTGCTTCCTTGTTGATATTCTAGCTATGTTGTTTCTTTCCTTACTTGATGCCTTTCTATCCGGCACTATTATCTTCCCCACAACATGTTTCCCCCTCCCACATTGACTGGTTATTTTTCTGTATTTCTTTTCCATTGTACATATATTTGAACTGCACAGGTTTATTTGGTAGTCTGGTCCTAGCCTCATCACTACTTCGCCGAGGTTAGGCTAGACACTTACCAGCACATGGGGTCGGTTATGCTGATACTACACTCTATACTGTGTGCAGATCCAGGAGTAGCTTTCAGACAGTAGTTGGAGGGTTTCCTTCAGTCCACTCGGAGACCCAAGGTAGACCTGCAGGCGTCCGTAGGCCCTGGCGTCTCCCTCTATCTCTATTTCTTGTTTCATTTTCTTTTGTTCAGAAACAGTGTATTGTATTTCTTCAGACTTTGTATGTAGTAACTCTTACACAGTCTGTGACACCAGGTTTGGGGTATTTGAGGTTTTAAAAGTTGTAATATACGTATCCTTATGATATATAATTGTTGACTTCTGCTTATTTATTAAAAAAAATTTGCTTTTATCATATTATCGACTTGTGGTTGTTAAAAAGAAGAAAAAATAAAAGTATAGCAAGTAGCTAAGGTTTGGATTGCCTAGCTCCCATTAGTAGGAGCCATCACGACTCCCGAGGGTGGGAAATCGGGTCGTGACATACACTCTCCCAGTTTGAGCGTTTATTAAAACGACATCCTCTTTGTGCAAAGATATAAGCGCCTCAGCTTCGGTTTTGATCCCGGATAGTGCAGCAACTAACTCAAAATGGAGACCTCTATATTTGTCATTATCTGCCCTATCATCATGAAGCTGGTGCCCGAATAAGGCCATCTTTTCCTAGAGGGTATCCCTCTCAGAGGTTATCTCTCTCACGTGCCGTTTGAGTTCAAGGACTTCGAAGTCTCTGGCTCGGAGCTCCTCCCTCAGTAGGGCACATTCCTTCTCAAACTGTGCGAATTAGATCCAAGATGTCAAAACACTAGGATTTGGCAAACATTCAGACAATAGCAAATGGAAACTAGGTAACATGTTCAACAAGATGAGCCTTCTCACGCTCATTACGGGTCACCTCAGCCTGAGATCGGGCGAAAGTCTAATTATAAAGTGCCTGGACTGAAGCCACGAAAAAGACAAGTTAGAAAAAACAAAGATCAGGATGACAGGTAGGGTTTACAAAAATCACCTGCTCACAAAGCCTACTCATCTCGCTGAAGACGAATGAAGCATCGAGCTCGGGAATCCCCTCAGAAGCGGCTAAAGTCCTTTCAAATGCATTTCTATCTCAAAAAGGCACCCCCACATCGGAAGGTTCTTCATTCATGGCATGCATTCCCTTAGGAGGTAAGATTGTTCCCTGAGGGGAATCACTCACGACAACCAACACCAGCAGAGTCAATCGGGACCACCTCTTGTCCCTTCAGGGCTTCAGAACTGGGTTCACTACAAGAAAAAGCCTTATTTAAGACCAACCTTTAGGGACGAGTTAATAATCCTGTCGCTAATAATATATGTATTAGGACGAGATTATATTGTGGTCCTTAATGCTTTATTTTATTGTGAAGGTAATAAATCTAGTCCTTAAAAAAATAGTAACTGATCCCAAATTATAATTGAGAGGCCTTGAGTGGGAGAGAGTGCCGCCAAATCTAATACCAAAATATTAAAAAACTATTATTTTCTAAAAATTAGATGCCAAAACTAAAAAGTAAAAGGTTCTAAAAACAAAATTAAACCTCTGTATTCTGAAAACATAGTACCGCATAAAATCCTCTGCCCTAATCTCCGTCTAGCTAGCGTTAGAGCCGGTCTCGCTCGTCTGGTCGTGTGCGAAATCGATCAACTGATCATCTGCCCTAGTTTCCATCTTCTCCTTTGAGAATCCAAGGTATGCCTCCTCTTTCAAGTTTCTTTTTTTCTTCTCTATGCGTTCTGATTTCGCTAATTGCAGATCTTCTACTTCTACTTCTTCTTCTTCTTCTTCTTCTTCTTCTTCTTCTTCTTCTTCTTCTTATTCTTCTTCTTCTTCTTCTCTAACATTAAAACATTGGTATTTTTCGTTTATACAATCATGGAAAGATTATTGGGTTGGGATTCCTGATTTGATAATTTAATTTTCTGAAGTGTATTCAAGTTTGTAGCGTATTGTCTGAAGAATATTATTTCATTCAAAGTGCATACCAGTTTTGAAAGTTAATTATTCAATAAATGGCATATAGTTTTATGTATTCAGTGAGGGATTAATCGTGAGGATATTTGGGCTGCTATAATTTTTACTGTTGTTTGCTCAAGTTTGTTGTTTGCGATTTCTTCTTTAAACTGATTGTTGGGTGCTGTTTCTGAAGGTTTATACTACTGACATTATGAATATTTTTGTGCAGTTTACTTTTCCTTAGTTTCGTTGAGCATGCTGATTTATTTTTTCTTGTGTACATGAGCTATATGCCTTTTATATGTTGAGTTTTTAAGATTTATTGCTATTACTCATATTCTAAAATTGTTTTTCAATTTCCCTATTTAATAGTTTGGGAATTAGGTCTCAAAGGCTTGATATGTTGGTTTCAGCTACATAATTGAAGCTTGTAAGATGTTAAAAAAAATAATTATGGGTGTCTGTTATTCTGTCATCTAGCAAAATAAAAATTCTTTGAGATTTATGGATTTTTATTTATTTCGTTTTACTCTGATCTTCTTTAAATTTGTGTAATATTTCTCTCTATTATGTTATATTGTGGACCAAACTAGTTGATTATTGGAATAGGAGGGGTTCAAATGGAGTGGAATTGATATTCTGGATTGGTAAAGCTAATTAAACTAGTTTGAGATTAAGACATAGTAATTGCAATTTGTATTTAACATTTATGTTCCAGTTATGATAATATAATAATATTTGTATTTTCTTTGATCTTTTTCTTTGACTCTTGACCTTTCTCCAAGATTATGTCACCTAGTAAGCAATGGATGCAACTTGTTGATAATCGGCTCGATGAAGCCTACTTAATCGGAGTGCAAAAGTTTTTGGATTATGCTTTTCATAAAATAGGAGAAGAATATGAAATACGATGCCCGTGTGTCAAATGTTGTAATACAACTTTAGGAACTCGTAAAACAGTTGAGACACATTTGAAAGTATATGGAATAATTCAAAATTATACTTTTTGGTATCATCACGGGGAAAAACTAGGTGAGCCACTGTCAGAATCAGAAGATGAAGACGGTGATGAACTAGAAGAATGTGAAAGTGAAGAAGATGAAGTACAAGAATTGTTGAGAGATCTATATCCTAATATTGATGGAAGAACTGTGCACACTGATTGTGATGAATTAATTGAAGAGGAACCAAATATTTAAGCAAAAATATTTAACAGGATATTGAAGGATTTCGAGCAGCCACTGTACCAAAATTCAAAATCTTCAAAGCTTTCCTATTTGATTAAATTGTTTCACATCATAAGTATGGGTCGTTGGAGTAATGAGTCATTTACAATGTTATTGAAAATGTTAAAAGAGGATTTGTTACATGATGGTGCCGATTTGCCAAAATCGTATTACGAGGCAAAGAAGATAATTCAAGATCTTGGCCTTTCCTACAACAAGATTGATGCTTGTACTAATGATTGCATGTTATACTTGAAAGAGGATAGTTTACTTGATTCTTGCAAAGTTTGTGGTGCATCTAGATGGAAAATAGATAGACATAGTGGGGAAATAAGGAATAAAAAAGGTAAGAAGATAGCATCAAAGACTTTACGCTATTTTTCATTAAAGCCTAGGCTTCAGAGGTTGTTTATGTCTACAAAGACATCTACTTTAATGACATGGCATAAAGATAAATGAGTTGATGATGGAATAATGAGGTACCCAGCTGATTCAATGGCGTGGAAGTCATTTGATGAACTTCATCCTTCATTTGCATCAGAGCCTCGTAATGTCCGACTTGGACTTGCTAGTGATGGATTTCATCCATTTCGGAATTCAAAAACCTCATATAGCATTTGGAATGTGGTTCTTATTCCTTATAATTTACCACCTTGGTTGTGTATGAAACAAGAAAATTTTATTTTGTCAATGCTTATTCCTGGTCCAAATAGTCCAGGAGATACAATTGATATATATCTTCAACCTTTAATAGAAGAATTGAAGGAGTTGTGGGAAGTTGGCATTGAGACCTTTGATGCATCATCTAAATAGGATTTTAAGTTGCATGCTTCTTTGTTATGGACCATCAATGACTTTCCAGCCTATGAAAATTTATCTGGATGGAGTACAAAAGGAAAGTTGGCATGCCCATGTTGCAATAAAGATACGTCCTCAATTTGATTGTCTAATAGTAAGAAGAAATGCTTTATGGGTCATCGACGCTATCTTCCTCTTAGCCACAAATGGAGGAATGACAAGGATTCATTTGATGGTACAAAAGAGAAAAGGCTCCCACCAAATATGCAGTCTGGTATTGAGATACTTAATCAAGTGCAAGATCTTGAAAGGATACAGTAACAAATGATCCAAAGAAAAAGAAGAAGATATCACATGAAAATCGAAAGGATAATTGGAACAAGAAAAGTATTTTTTTTGAACTTCCATATTGGAAGTCTCTCTTGTTGCGACATAATTTGGATGTTATGCATATTGAAAAAAGTATATGCGATAATATTATGGGAACAATCATGAATATCAAAGGAAAGACCAAGGATACAATTAAAACTAGATTAGACTTGCAAGACATGAATATTAGGCCGAAATTGCACCCCATCCAAAGAGGGGAGAAAGTTGAAGTTCCAACTGCATGCTACACATTGCCTCCTGAATGTAAGCACAAATTATGCCAATTCCTAAAGAATTTAAAGGTTCCTGATGGGTTTTCATATAATATTTCTCAATGTGTGAACCTGAAAGATCACAAGATATCTGGGTAGAAAAGTCATGATTGCCATGTTCTTCTGCAATATATACTCCCCCTTGCACTTCGTGGGATGTTATCCAAAGAAGTGTGTGAACCGCTTATTGAATTATCTTTATTCTTTAATGTGCTTGGATCAAAGGAGTGAATGATTGATGACTTGGAACAAATTGAAGCGCAAATTCCCATAATGCTTTGCAAGTTAGAAAAGGTCTTCCCTCCTTCATTTTTCGATGTCATGGTGCACTTGCCTATTCATTTAGCAAATGAAGCTAAGATTGTTGGACCTATTCATTATCAGTGGATGTATCTTGTGGAACGATGGTTATATTTTTTGAAATCTCTGATTGGTAATAGGGCATGTCCAGAAGGCTCTATTGCAGAGGGCTACATTGCAAATTAATGTATGACCTTATGTTCACGGTATTTGCATACGATTGGCACAAAATTCAATCGACATGAGGTTTATCTATGTTTGATCAACCTGGAAGTACTCTGGGAGCTAAAGAACAATGTGATCTTGAAGAAAATGAATTGGAACAAGCACATATATACATACTGAAGAATTGCGATGAAGTCATACCATATCTCGAGTATGGAGAGTTCTTTCATATTGTCTCATTTTTCTTATTTCCTTTAGGGTAATTTGTTTTATAAGACATTTATGGTTCACTTCAAATTTGTAGAGAGTTTGCACAAACTCATGTGGATACTGCGCAGCACTTGTCTGATGCAGAATGGAACCGACAATTTATTGAATGGTTTAAAGTTAGGGTGAGTAATACATAAATATTAAATTTGACATTTTAATTTTGTATTACTAATTCTAAATTATTCAACTTAATCTTATTGATAGGTTGCACAATTGCATAAAGAAGATGATAGTCAGATCATCCAAGATCTGCTCTCACTTTCACGTGGTCCTACCCAATATACGACACATTTTAATGGTTACATTGTTAATGGATATAGTTTTCATGTAGAAGATTATGATAAAAATTTAAGGACTCAAAATTGTGGTGTTGTTATGGTTGGTGAGAATGATAAAGATAGTGAGAACATTGATTACTATGGAATTTTAACAGATATGATTGAATTGCAATTTCTCATGGGTAGAAGAGTGATTTTATTTCGATGTAATTGGTTTAATGTGTATGATAAAATAAAGAGAGTTAAAAAAGATGAGTATGACTTCGTGAGTGTTAATCCAAGGAGATTTTTGAAAACAAATGAACCTTTTATTTTAGCGTAGCAAGCATCTCAAGTGTTTTATGCTATCGATAACTCCAACAAAGGTTGGCATGTAGTGAGGAAGAATCAACCTCGGGATTCTTATGAGATTATAAAACAAATGGATGATGATGTTGTAGACTTAGGAAATCCATCACAAAAGAAACAAAAAAGAACTGATAAGGTGAAATATCTATTTATGAATTAGTATTTTCATTGTTACATATACTGATGGCATGATTTCTTTTATTACTATATTGTCACACGTTGTCTTACTATTTTTACTTTTAGCTCTTTGCAGGTTCAATATAAAACCATCAAAGACTGAAAATGATGTGGAATCAAATATGAAGAGTACAACCAGATATGCGTTCGTCCCGCCGGGTGCTATAAGAAAGGGACAAGGACGAGGACGATGGCATAGATCTTTGGTTGATAAAGAGAATATGCCAATTAAGAGTTTATTTCCTCAATCTAGTGATCTTGTTAAGCAATACATCCAAACAATTGAAACAAGTAAGATATTTTAAATATACTATTTTTAATGTGTACAACTGAATTTTAATGTTTAAATATTAGTAATATGATTTCGTTTCAGGTACTATTGGGAAGGGACGAGGACAAGGGTTAAAAAGCTCTACCATGTCTACTAGTCAAGGACCAGGAACGATACGTAAAGACTCTATCGTTCTTGAGAAAGAGTATATGCAAATTGATAGTCCATTGCCTCCATCTACTGATCAAATTAAGCAATACACCCAAAAAATTGAAGCAAGTAAGCTTTTTCAAATCTGTGGTATTTTTAATTGCATATATTACTGAAATTAAATGCTAAAGTAAAATGGTTTTTTGGTCCATGTTCTATAGGGAAGGGACGGGAGCAAACTCCTAGATCTTCGTGCTCTTCTTTAGGGATTTCTAAATGTACAAGATCGAATTTTACCATATCTTCCAACCAAGAAATGCGAACAATGGATAAAAACTCCTTGGTTCTTGAGAAGAGCATATGCAAGCCAATATTTCATTGCCTCCATCTACTGATCAAGTTATGCAATACTCCCAAGCAACTGAAACATGTATGATATTTTGAATCCATATGTTGTTAACTGAATTTTATTGCTATAGTTTTTACCAAATTATGCATCCGTAGGTTCTTCATCTAATCCTGGAAAGGTAAAAAGAGTTCGAGGGAGGAACAAGTGCAAAGAAGTTGCATCACTTGAAGTCGGACAAAAGCTGAAAGTAACCTTTTATAATAATCGAACAGTTGGAACAAATAACAAACTGTTTTTGAGGCACTTGGGAAGAATCATTCGTGACTGTAATATGTGTCCGTTGGGAGTATCATCGTGGAATGATATTAAGGAAGAAAAGCTAAATCACATGTGTGCAGCTATTGAGGTAAGCAAGATATTTATACAGTGAAGATGCATATCATTTAGTTGAATACTTGTGTTCCTGTTTGTAACACATTGTTGTTTTACCCCTATTTAGAAACAGATTCAGTCACAGCATTGTCTGTGTAAGAAGTGCATACATGGTCTCTGTCCAGAAGTACGAACTGGGCAACTTCCCTTGCTTGATGTCTTTCCATTTTTGTTCCAGCATATCCTCTAATTGTATTATTAAGTAGCTCAATGTATCTCTATACACATATGGCAATAGAGCTGGCCTCGTAGAATCACACGCACATGAAGATATTTACATGATATTTCTGTTGCGTGCGGTGCTTGTCCTCCAAATTTCGGAGGTGATCTTTGCTTGTACCCTTGATATCTCAGCATATACACTAAGTTTCCATGACCAGCAATGCAAATGGGGCTGGTATTTCTTCCTTTGTAAGTCTATTGTGCCCGTATTTTGATTCCAAAACAATATTCCTAGCTTGACACAAATGTTCATAGCTTGGCTCCTGTAGTTTATTCCTTTCCATTCGAGCAACTTGGTGACCTCAATACCTATATATGTGAAGTGTGTATTGAGTTATTCATATGGATGTATAGTGTACTGATCAACTGGACACTGAGGGAAACTATGCCCAGTATGCTCTCATCCTTCATGCTTGTGCTTATCTGTATAATTTTTGGAGAATGTTAACTGATTCATTTGTTAATTGCTGTAGAGTTTGAAATAACAGTTGAAACTATATATATGTTAATTGTTGTATAACTGCTGGAGAGTTGCTCCTAACACAGGATTATGAGTAGTTACTAAAACTGAACTAATTCATTAACTCAACCCATGTTTTGATTATTGTAGGATAAATTTGAGAGTGTTGACACGAATGATCACCGTGATCATATCTTCGCATGGATAACAGAGTTATGGAACAAATAGAGAGGACACTTGCATGCAAAATAAAGCCAATTCAACAGGTTCTTAAGATATTCCAAAGGGAGTAGACAAGAAAGAATGGGAGTGGTTATTAAAGGAACATTTTTCTTCAGAAAGTTTTCAGATATGCCTAGTGATTTAATAATCTATTTCGCTAAAGCATCTGCACCCTAATCCCCCTCCCTAGCACTTCAGCTGAAAAGTTGATGTTTCAAGAGCTTATGTCTGGATCATTTCAGATATACATGATGGCTGACATGAACTCTCGTCTAAGTTTCACTTATTTAAGTTATCGAATTATGTGTTTGGATGTGTAGTTTCAGCTTAAGAATCACGACTCATGCACCAGAACAGGGGTTCTTCCCTTTCATTTGCTTTTATAATTATTCCCTAGAATAATTACAAATCTATGACCTTTGCATATATATGATTCGTTGAGAGTAAATACTTGACATGCAATTCTGCTAACTCACGCAATATTTGGGTTGTAAAATAAAATGTTGCAGTTATGTCCTCTCCTATCTCTGTGCTTTGCTGAGGCCTGACATGGGAATGTGGTAAGGTGGCCACATATAGTTGCGAGATTGATTTCATAGAAAATTACTTGCATGTTAATGGGTATTAAACGTCCTAAGAAAGAATATGAAAAAGATGAAACATTAAGGTGGACTATTATATTGAGTGCATATGAAAGCTGTTTAGCAGTTCTGTTATTGCCATACCTATATCAGTGCTGTGATTTTAAAATCCTCGTGTCCCTCTCATTAATACGAGAAGAGCAGCTTATGATATCTCACAACTCTACTATGGGAGTAGGATGAAGTTACTTGCATATCAGCGAAGGGGGTTGATAGAATATTCTTACAAGAAGAAAATATTTATCCATGTGAAACAACATTAATCATGTACACATAATTCACGATAAGATGCTAAATGCTGTTTAATTTCTATGTTGTTTCGATTTGTCATGGAAACATCTGTGGGTGCTTGTCACGACCCAAACCGATGGGCCGCGATGGGCATCCGATACCTTACTCAGCCGAGTACCAACGTAACATATCTTTCTTATTACATTATCATATACACATGACATACGGGCCTAATAGGAAAACATGATCTTTCATAAACTCAAAACATAGGCCGACAAGGCCGTACAATCCTTCACGTACGAGACATATGTCTACAAGCCTCTAAGAGTATATAAATGTCATAAAGGTCGGGATAGAGTCCCGCCATACCAAACAATACACGTCTAAATCATACTAACCAAATAAACAACTCTGAAGCAAATGGAGCGCACCAACATCTTCCGCTGAGCTGATAGCCTATTTGGAGGGCTCTCAACCTGTCTATCGGGACCTGCGGGCATGAAACGCAGCGTCCCCAGGCAAAAGTGACGTCAATACGAACAATGTACCGAGTATGTAAGGCACATAAATAAGTACATAAGAGACATAGAAGAAATATAGAGTACATGACTCAACCTGTAAGTCAGAATAACTTTGTAAATCATAAATTACTTTTAGCGTCATGCATATGTGTATGAATGTCATGTCGTGCATAGGTACATGTTTCATAACATTATCAGCCTCCGAGGGCATCCCATCATATCATATCGGTCATTGTGGGCAAAATCATCATCGATACCAGCTGATCAGGTGGTGGTTTGTATATAACGCCATAACCTTTTACATATCCCATATACATATATATACATACATATATACGCGTATATAACGCCGTTTGAGTACATACATATATATGCGTATATAACGCCGTTTGAATCATATTTCAGCCACTGTGGGCAACATCGTCATCATATACCAGCTGATCAGGTGGTGGTGCGTATATAACGCCGTAACCTTTTCCCATATCCCATATACATATATTTACATATATACGCGTATATAACGTCATCTGGTCATGAGTCAATGCAATGCATGAAAAGTACGTCAATAAAATCATTCGAAATGTCATAAGACCATTTTTACTCTGAGTAATATCATAAAGTAAACTCTTTTCAACTTTCGTATTTTTATGAGACCCATGAAAAGATGATCAAATATTATGACACACAAAAATTCAAGAACATAGATATCTCTAATACTTCTATGAATAGAATCATTCATGGAATTTGTGCATTTGCACATTTCGTTCGTATCGTATGGATCATGCCAGAAGAAAGAAAGGATAGCCTTAACATACCTGTTCCCGAAATTATTTGAATGAATCTGCTTGTGCGAAATATGGACGAAACTTAAACTTGGACAAACTCAAATTTCGAACAACTACTCTGTCCTTAACGTTTTTCAGAAAGGAATTTGGTTAAGGGGTGAATTGTTGTGACATTCTTTCCACCTTCACGTTTTTGGTCATTAACAGAATGTTAAAGTTGTTCTTTGGTCTTGAAAATGAGATGTTTTATCTCTTTTAGATTGAATAAGCTTTCCACAAAGTCTTGATAAGACNACGTTAACATCAAGATGATCTCATCCCCGAGTCTTACATCGGTTAACTGAAAATAAAATTTTAATGTATAATACTATAGGGTGCAACATCGTCGTAACTTAACACTGCAAAACATGACATCACCGTAATGTAATACTGCGAGACGTGACATCTCACTTTCGGGCTCTCATTAATTTATTTATGGTGTATTTTCATGTACGAAAATATGGGGTGTAATTCCTCCCTTTGGAACATTCGTCCTCGAATGTTGACTAATGTGCTTATCGTTCTCATATCCCATAGCTCTTACGAATACTTTAGTAGTTCTCTTGCAATCTAGGTAACTGTTCTGTGAATAAGTCCAAAGGCCAGGGTATTCCCTCCTTTAGGCCTCTTTCCCATGCCATGACTTGTGATCAAATACTTTCCAATCTTATAATTGTTGCTCCCTCCCATCATGCAGCTCCTACGATACTGACCTTGTACGTGTCCTTATGCAACTCTCCTTTCCTTTTTCCTCTAGTTTTTAGCAAATCCTGAAGTTCTTTTCTTGGTATTTTGTCGAACTTACGAATACTGCTATATCTTATTTTATAGACATGGTTATCCATTCGTATGACTTTACTGCATCTACATAGGTCATACTATACCATAACACTTACCTCGATTTCTCGTTACTGAGGTCTGCTACCCAATCTCAGGTTACTTTCATTGCTTATCTCGTACGTATAAATCTATGTCCTCTAATGCCTCCACGTTACTGTTTATCTTTAAGAATGACGACCTAATCTCTTCTCATACTTTATAACTTTTATCCATCCATTATTGATTCACCTCAATTTTGATCCATAATCCACCCTTGATAACTTAACTTTTTATGTAATTTTGCTGCTTGGATTCATGTTTTATCGAGGAACATCTGAAATGATTAGATTGATCCACCTGGGGCGATACCTTGATTTCATAACCATATCTCACGGCATCCCAATGAGATTTACTTATATGGGTATTTAATCTTGTACAATCCATGAAATCCTCTTCAATCATTACTCACTCGAAAGCCTAAACATCATCATTTATCTATCACAATTATACCCTCATTGTACTATCGGGGCAGCATTCCATCTTTTCTAAATGCTACTAGTCTTAGACTGCTTTGAGTTTATTTAGGCTATACTGAGCTTTCTATAACTTAGATAAACCATCAACTCTTCTTGTTTTCATGGGCTTAATCCCGAGGACTTATCCATTCTCGTCACCTTCTCACTCGCCTTTTCTTATCCTTACTCCTGTCTTCCTAAAACCTTGTCGCTCTACCATACTTTATCTTGCAACCTACATATATCCATTTATACTACTTTCAACCTTTCTTCAACTTGCTCGCACCATAGATTTTCTTATGTTATTCTGGAATATCAAGCGAGACGTCACATCGTCTCTAACACTTCTATACTTTTTTAACTACATCTCTAGATACATAGAAACCATAGGCTGGAAGATATGACACTAACGATGTCGCTATCATTCCTAGATATTGAATCCCCGTACTTATAACCTTCTATACGAACTATGGACTATTCACAACTTTCTGCATTTTAGTATTTCGTACGTTGTTTACTTTTACCTTACTTACTTAAAATCCCGTATCATATCTTCTATCTCTTTCGTAACCTCCCTTCCACCTATGTGTACTTCACGTCCATAACTTGAAGCTCTATTATAATACTCGCACCTCTGTTACATACACAATCCAGTGGGAGCTTTGTACTGACTTCTTATGAGGCTGGCACTTCTTCTAACTGGCTTCCTTGTAAAGCCATTATTGATTATGGTTGTTGTTACAAGATTGTTGTTACATGACCATTTCCTCTTTAGGTCGTTGTACTTAGGTTGAAGCCTTATTTCTTATTTCCTCAGCTAGTCTCTCTTTCTAGTACTTAGGGATAACCCTTGACCCTCATAAAGCTGTAAGCTTATTATAGACTTTTGATGTCCTTCCTTGCCTGAAATTATCCGTAGTTGCTTACCTTCGTGCCCTTGTTAAGGTTGCTTGTAAACTGACATTTTGATTGCCTTCCCAGTGGCACTTTCTTTATCCCCGTAACACACATACAATACCTTTAACCACCCCAAATCATCATTGAATATATCTCAAGTATTATAATGACATTACTACGAGGCTGAATTCTTCATGTTGGGGTTTACTACATTCATCTTGCATGATTTGTTGATTTGTCCGTAACTTCTTGTTTAGCCATAACTGGGATCTTCCTGACCAATTACTAACTACTCATTGGCCCATTCTCATATCGATATTCCTCGTAATCTTTCTTGGGTTATTTCTTTTGTCTTAACTTACATCTCACACTAGCTCTTTATTTATCAAAAATATCCCGGGCAGGAACCCTTACTTTCTTTTCTTGGTGTCGGTCTTACATAATGTTGTGGAATCATAGCATATCTGTAACAT